CTATATATTCTGATCACATTTATTTATTGTTAGTTGGATTTGACAAGAAACTTGCTGACTCTATAACTGGCGTCTGATAGTTAATATTGATTGGCGTCGTTGGGGAAATGGCTGAATTTAGCTTTTTGCCTCTGATAGTTATTGTTGACGAGGGTTGACTTTATATCTTGCCTTTCAAAGTTATTGTTGATAAAGTTCTGCGAAGATATCTTCCCTCTGAATGTTTTTATTGATGAAATCGAAACCTGCCGACTCTATAACTGTCCTCTGATAGTAATTATTGACAGCGGTCGATCAGAAACGTACTGACTCTATAACTGTCCTCTGATAGTAATTATTGACAGTTGTCGATCAGAAACGTACTGACTCTATAACTGGCCTCTGATAGTAATTATTGACAGTGGTCGATCAGAAACGTACTGACTTTATAACTGGCCTCTAATAGTAATTAATGTCAGTGGTCGGTCAGAAACGTACTGACTCTATAACTGGCCTCTGATAGTAATTATTGACAGTGGTCGATCAGAAACGTACTGACTCTATAACTGTCCTCTGATAGTGATTATTGACAGTGGTTGATCAGAAACGTACTGACTCTATAACTGGCCTCTAATGGTAATTATTGACAGTGGTCGGTCAGAAACGTACTGACTCTATAACTGTCCTCTGATAGTAATTATTGACAGTCGTCGGTCAGAAACGTACTGACTCTATAACTGTCCTCTGATAGTAATTATTGACAGTGGTCGGTCAGAAACGTACTGACTCTATAACTGGGCTCTGATAGTAATTAATGACAGTGGTCGATCAGAAACGTACTGACTCTATAACTGGGCTCTGATAGTTATTATTGACAGTGGTCGGTCAGAAAAGTACTGACTCTATAACTGGACTCTGATAGTTATTATTGACAGTGGTCGATCAGAAACGTACTGACTCTATAACTGGGCTCTGATAGTTATTAATGACAGTGGTCGATCAGAAACGTACTGACTCTGTAACTGGACTCTGATAGTTATTATTGACAGTGGTCGATCAGAAACGTACTGACTCTATAACTGTCCTCTGATAGTAATTATTGACAGTGGTCGGTCAGAAACGTACTGACTCTATAACTGGGCTCTGATAGTTATTATTGACAGTGGTCGGTCAGAAACGTACTGACTCTATAACTGGACTCTGATAGTTATTATTGACAGTGGTCGATCAGAAACGTACTGACTCTATAACTGGACTCTGATAGTTATTATTGACAGTGGTCGGTCAGAAACGTACTGACTCTATAACTGGACTCTGATAGTTATTATTGACAGTGGTCGGTCAGAAACGTACTGACTCTATAACTGGACTCTGATAGTTATTATTGACAGTGGTCGATCAGAAACGTACTGACTCTATAACTGGCCTCTAATAGTAATTATTGACAGTGGTCGATCAGAAACGTACTGACTCTATAACTGGGCTCTGATAGTAATTATTGACAGTGGTCGGTCAGAAACGTACTGACTCTATAACTGGCCTCTGGTAGTAATTATTGACAGTGGTCGATCAGAAACGTACTGACTCTATAACTGGACTCTGATAGTAATTATTGACAGTGGTCGATCAGAAACGTACTGACTCTATAACTGGGCTCTGATAGTAGTTATTGACAGTGGTCGGTCAGAAACGTACTGACTCTATAACTGTCCTCTGATAGTAATTATTGACAGTGGTCGATCAGAAACGTACTGACTCTATAACTGGACTCTGATAGTAGTTATTAATGAAGGTTTGCGAAGAACGTTATTTTTATATCTTACCTTTGAATTTTATACCATTAACCCACATGGTGCAGAAAAGTTAGACGTAAAAACTCCATTCATATCATTTCATTTCATTTGAATGTTATTGTTAATGGACGTCCTTTAAAAACTTGTTGACTCTATCTTTCTTGCCTCTTATATTTATTGTTGATGGAGGCCCTTGCCTCTGAAAGTTGTTAGGTCTGACAGAAACATATCTCATGTAACTGATGTATTGCTGACGTAAATGATAGCAAAAAGAAATAACAATTTAGCAATTATATTCATATTTGTCGAATACGTAAAACATTAGTGCATTTCAGGGGATGAATATATGAATATACCTTAAAGAGACAGATGTGCGATTTTTCTTACAAATTATACTTTAGTCTCAGAAACGGGAATTTGTTTTAGTAAAGCCAATCAGTAACTGCTTTCGTGGGCTTTCAAATCCACGTGTGTCCAGAATTATCCGCGTTTGAATGTTAAAATGACGACTCATCATTAGATATATAGAAAAGGCATGTATAGAAATTGTGAGTAAAATTCCTAGCTTGAAGTATGTTTAAAAGAAATAATATATGCAATTTTGCGACATTTCTAATACTTTTGAAGACTATTTAAATATATTCAAGTCTAAAATCACCCCCCCCCCCCCCCT